TTGCTGCAGCCAAAAGCTGTGGTCGCTCTTCTGCTCACTCGGTGCTGAGGCAGCTCTTCTGCATGCCTGGTGCTGCCTCCGATCATCACTACTTTGGTCTGGACCCCAGGGCTGGTGAGGAGACTGTATCAGTGGATCCACATTCAGACACAGGAGACCAGGTTCGTTGATGCAGATCGGGTTTATTGTAGAAGGGCACAAGCTTATATAAGGGTAGGTGTCCAATCAAGAAGTTGCAACTCAGAACTTTGGCAGGGCTGTGTCCTATCATGGCATCCGAGTCAGGCACCTCATTAGCATAATGGGTATCAGTTTACTTAGGTTCAGGTTTCCTTATAGGGCCTGGTTTCCTGGGAATCACATGACCCAGGCTGTCTAAGTGTTGCAATTTGGGATCTCAAGGGTGGTGATTAGGGAGTGGCGAGCTCTAGGCATCAGTCTCATGATCTGCCAATGGGAGCAAATGTCACAAGATGTTCCCTGTGGCTCCAGTAGTTGGGTCGTTGCCTCAGGCCTGCTCTTTGGCTGTCAATAATGCTTTCACCCTAGGCTCAAGCCTGTCTCCTACATCTATGTAGATGTCTGCACCCCTGTCTGCATAGAGGAAGTGGGCTGAAATGCTGACTTATTCACTGGTTGGCGTTTATATTGTGAGGCACTTTTCTGTTGTTTTGGTAACATTCACACTCAGTCCCTGGGTATAAACATTACTGTTAAATACATTTTCTGTATCACATGTGTTATTGGATTTCCTTTTGTTTTTAGAATTTGTATGCATCATGCACTGCCTTCTAAACTAATTTAACAGCTCTTTTCTCAGATTTTTTTCTTCCTAAAAGTAAATGCTATTGTTTAAGCATTAAGGACAGGTTAAATAGAGAATTTTTATTTCTAAAATAATTTTTGCTTTATTTTAATAGAATTTCATCTTTTGGCTGATCTACCTACCATTCACATTTTGAGATTTAAAGCTGAAAGGGATTAGAGATATTGGGCTTTCATTGTTGATCTAAACATGGGTCATTTACTTCTATCTTTTCTGATCAGCAGTCTCTGCTCTGCCTCTCCTCTGCTCTCAGCAGTGGTGGGTGGTTTCCGTACTGTGCTGGATAGCTTTAATGTCAACCTGACACACCTGGGTTGAGGGAGCCTCAAGTGGGGAATTGTCTCCATTGAACTGGCCTGTGGCCATGTCTGTGGGGATTTTTCTTGATTGTTGAGTGATGTGGAAGGGCCCATCCCACTGTAGGTGGTGCCATCCCTGGGCAGGTGGGCCTGTGTTGCATAAGAAAGCAGGCTGAGCAAGGGCCAGAAGAGCAAGCCAGTAACAAGCATTCCTCCATGGCCTGTGCTCCAGCTCCTGCTTCCAGGTTCCTGCCCTGAGTGCCTTCCTTGGACATCCTGATGAACTGGAACCTGGGAGATGTAAACTGAATAAACCCTTTCCTTCCCAAGTTGGTATTGGTCAAAGTGTTTTGTCACAGCAACAAAGAACAAACTAGAACAGAGATTGGTACGAGAAGTGGGGTATTGCTGTGACAGACCTGACCTTGGTGTTTTTGGGAGGACTGTGGAAGTGTTTGGAACTTAGGGCTGGAAAAGCCATTGCATGATCAGAGTTTGTTGCTGTGGAGCTTGAAACAGTTATGCTGAAAGAGTTGTAGACGATGGAGGCCTGGCTTGTGAAGCTTCTGCCAGTAGGTTCGAACCAGCCACCCCCGGTGCAGTGATGATTGGGGATGAGTAAGCATGCCATTCACCAGCCCATGCTGCCCCCAGTACCGGGGACACTCAGACACAACAGGGAGTCTAGTCAAGCAGGGTCTTATTTATTGCAGATGTTACAGAGCTTATAAAAGCACCTGGAAATCCCCCCTCCCCCCAAGACTGTATCTTAAGGATGGTCACATGCTGATCATGCACTCCTCAGCAGTGCGGAAGTATTCTTCAGACATTCAAAGCAAGGT